TTAAAGCCAATAAGCTTGTACAATATGTTTTTAAGACTGGGTGCTTGTTCGGGGAGGAGGAATCGAACCTCGTACGCTCTAGTTAGAGTCAGAGACGTACCCCATTCGGCCAGGGCTCCCCGATAAAAATGAGGTTTGAATCAAAACTAATATCATATTCTGAATCAGCATCAAAAACAGCTGACTTATGAGTATTGTAAATATTTTTGAGATCTTTTTTTTGCCATCGAAAAATTCACCAGTACTCCCCCTCAGGATAGTTAGTTGGGTCAAAAAATTGAATTTTACAAAAAAGAGATTTCGTTTCGACAATGTCAAACAAGCTCTTTAAAAGTTGTGAAATGAGAGTAGAACACAAAATGGAGAATATTTAAACAGTAAAAACAGCTTTTTCACGATTTCACTTTCTTGTCTCCACCATCCTGAGGGGGAGTATGGGTGATCTTTTTTATGAAAAAAAAGATCTCAAAATTTTTTGAAATACTCATAGGTCAGTTCCATTTTTTATGCTGATTCAGAACATGATATTAGTGTTGATTCAATCTTCATTTTTCTGATCGAAATCTGCTAAATATTAGGAAAAAAAATTCATACTATGTCACAACTGCCTTGTGTTCAAAACAAATACATTTATTTGATGATCAAAGTCTTCCTGTACATACGTTTTGTAATCCTAGAGCACTTGCAAAAGCATTATCACTCGAAAAAAGAATCCTTTATTCCTTTACTTTATCTTTATTTTATAAAGTAATAGTAAAGTACCACCCCTAAACATATATCCAGTTTTTAGTTAATATCTGCTCAAGAACGCTGACCTTCGGTCGTTTTCTTCATGTAAGGACAAGACAGGACAGAAAAAATTTGTGATTATGAATTATGGTTAGATTTCTTCCTATGAAAAATGATATTTTCAAATTTGTAAAATTATTTACATTACATATTTTCAGAAGAAAATCAATATAGATCATTTGCTTTTTGTAATCATAATATTCAACGGTCATGTTCACTGTAAAAAGACTCAAATAGAGGACATTATATTTATGTTTTTGAGGTTTATTATCAAAATGATACTTTCATATCAAATATTCAACGATAGAAATCAGTTAAAGTCTATTTCAAGAAAACTTCTTTTACTTAATGCCAATAATTAATTTTATTCATACACAAGCAGTTCAGCGAGGGAACCACGAAAGACACAAAACAACCGGGGTAAGAGCGCTACGGAAATACACACACGTCAAAGACGCACACAAGTAACTAAGTGATGCTGCCAATGAAAGACCGTGATAGACCTTGTAGATTATTATATATCACACTATAGAATCATTTTTTCAATTCTACTACGAATATTTAGTCTAATATTTAAGAAGATTATGCCAAAATTTCAATTAAATCTTCTATTGAAACTTTTTCCCAGCTTTCATATGAAATTTGAATTATTCTGTAATTCCTTTTCGGCTTGGTCTCGTATCACAAGGAGCAACAGACCACTTCTTTTGGTCTGACTTAGCTTGAGTTGCAAATGTTTGTCAAATTGTGTCAGATTGATCTCGTTTTTCATTAAAAATAATTATGCACTGTACTAGATATGTTGTTTTTATCCTAAGTAGACAATTATCCAACTTATTATTTCATTCTTGTCATCGGAGTAGCTGGAGACATAAATAATGAAACAGGAATTTGATCGGACTATATTATAATTCAAGGGTCGACCAAAGTCTATACACAATGACAACCAAATTATTAGACACGGCAGCTATGTTTATGCCTCAAAGAATAAGCAAAAAGTCTCTATTTCGTAGAATAGAGTATAGATGATTTCGTGGATAATAATCATTTACTTATCTGTAATTATTGAGATATAGATTATTTCATCAATTATTTTTCTTAGTTATATAGCTTCGCAATAAACCAACTTCGACTTGTAATTGTTATGAAGAGTGCTGAGAAATAGAGAGTGGTCTGCTGTGATTGTAGTTTTGAAGTGGAGGAGAAGTACAACAATTTCCGATATGATGAGAAATAATATAATGATTTCGACATTCTTTTCATTTTTGTTGAACTGCAAAAATAGTCTGCAATGAAAATTTGACAGATAGAAGCGTTAACGTATCTGTAAAAATCAGAGATGGTTTTGGTTGGATTGAATCATATCAGATTATGAGAAAAGAATTTTGTAACAACGTTTAGTCGGAATATGCCGTCACTTGATATAAAAATGTTTACTCTCATATCTTATTTATACTTAACTGAATTATTAGTATTCTTTGCGTCATTCTACGTAAGATGTTTTTTTGGAAAGTTACCCTGATGCTCTGTTGCGGTCTTCATAAGCGGTTTAATTACGGCATCTCTACTGCCATATACGACATATTTATAGCTAAAACCAGATTACTGTATGCAGTCGTAAGTTGTCATATATTCGTCGCAATTAACTAATGTCAATAATCTTTATCACCGTTTTCGGCGTGGATAAAAGCCATACCGTGGAAAAAATATATTAACCACATACAACTCATGTAAACATGAAACGTAAAATAGACGCGTTTATACCCCGAAAGATAGTTACATTGAAATCGTATTTATGGTACAAATATCTGTCAATAAATCGCAGTTTTACTCTATAACTTAGTCGTTACACTGCTAACACTTGTATATGAAGATAAGAACTTACACAACTATAGATGCTTACTGACTTCACTGTCAAATATAGAATGTCAAATGTGCAACACATCTTGATCACATTGAAACAGGACAGGTATTCACTTTCAACAGCTGCACTCGATTGCGCCGTTCAGACTTTAATGAAAGCTGTTAGCTGATATGTAAAACGGCTGACAAGAATTAACTGGATACTTTTATTAATGAAAAACAAGATTTCTCGAGAATGCAAATCAGAGAAGAATTTCACACGATTACTAAGCTCACCCACCACATAAAAATATGGCGAGTGTGATGCTACGCGATAGAACTGGACAACGACTCTTGATTGTTCATCAGTACAGGCCAGAGTTGCAACCGGTCGAGTTTTTTTCTGACCAGTACCGATACCGGTCTAAAAGGCCAGACCGAACCGGACCGGACCGGCCGATGTACCGGCATAAATCATTCTTCATTCTGCTAAGTCTACAACAGACATATTCACCACTGGATTAGTCATATTTGGCCCTCTATCGTTACAGTAATGACATAAGAACCCCTTTTAGCGCTTTTTACTATTTATTCCAATAACTTTTTACTCTCTTGAGATTTATTGATGAACAGAAAATTTCGTAGAAATACAAATTCTAAATTAGCCATATGCAGGGTGTCCCAGAAATAATCTACCAAAATAAAAAATGGATATGTCCCTTATGTTTCTATCGGATGAACTGATTTTTAGACTGCTGATAGAGGACACTGGTAAGTTTTTTTTCACAAATGTTAAGTTCTTTAACACTCCTACAAAGTAGTACTTTCAGATTTAATAGACAATAAAGCCATTTTTCGAGTGTGAAAAAAACAATATGTAGGATTTTCTCTTGGACTTCTTCAATTTTTTTCATTATTGTGAACTTCCAATCATCTAAATCTCTTTCTCTTCCTTTATAAACATTTGTTTAAGACTGTTGAGAAAACTAGAGTGATTGATACATTTCTTCAAAATGATTTGTTCGTCCCTCATAAAAAACTTTGACGAAAAGTGCACTGAGTAAACTGACGCGGTTTTAGAGTTTTCACGGCCACCAGACGTGAGATCCATGTGTCTAGTTTTTTCAGAACTGTCAAGCAAATGCTTATAAAGCAAGAGAAAAAGATCTGGATGATTGAAAGTCCATAATAATGAAAAAAATTAAAGAAATCCAAGAGAACATCCTACATATTGCTTTTTCAAACTCGAAAAAGAGCGTTATTGCGTATTAAACCTGAAAGTACTACTTTTCAGGAATACTTAAGAACTTTATATTTATGAAAAAAACTCAGAAATGTCTTCTATCACCAGTACAAAAATCAGTTCATCCGACAGAACCGTAAAGGAGGTATACAATTTTTATTTTGGTAGGATATTTCTGGGACATCCTGTATGTGTCTTTGGCAGTATAGTTTTAGTAGTTGAGAAATTTTATCGTTTTACAATAAATAAAATGGTTCCATTTCTAATCATTACTGTTTATGTATAGATTCCCGTGTAAGAAATGTCATCAATCTCGATGGATGTACCAACAGTGAAAATAAATCCATCTGGCCTTCAGAATCTTATCAATTTCATTTTCGCACATGAGCGAATTCTTAAAGAATTTGGCGCACTTAAAATTCAACTAAGTTCTGATTGTACATTAGCATTGAAGAAACGTAAAATTTCACCAACCTGTACAGCTACTCAACAAATTATGAAATTGAGTGACGATGAACCTATTTACTCTGTTCATAAAGGGGAAGATATTAATGTATACGCTAAACAACGATCACCAATAACAAACGAAGAGACTTTTTGGTCTTCTCTTTCCAATTCGGACCATAAATTCTATCAATCAAGTGTTTCTATCTTACCAAATAAGACGTTATTCTATAAAAAATGGCATCGAAAATATTTCGCAATTCATTCTATACCGAGACAGTCACTACTTAAACTAGGCGGCAGCAAGGTGGTCAATGAATTTGTTCCTTGTTTAACAAGAACACACGGACCAGGTGCTATTTTTCCATTATCTAGTGCTCAACAACGTCTCTTCTTATTAGTGTACCATCACCAGGGTAGTCCCCGTCATTGGTATATTATTCCTGCGTATGAACGAGAGGCTTTAAGAAAAATAGTTCAAAGACAAAACTCTTCAAATTGTCTTGAACATGAAGAATTGTTGATTGATCCTCTTATATTTGACAAATATCATATTCGATATCATCGACTTGTTCAATATGCAAACGAATTGGTAGTTTTATCAGCTGGTGCTTTAGCACAAAGTTTTACAGAAGATACAAGTTGGATTGAATCGGTTGCTTTTGCTTTGCCTAGTTGGATTCAAGATGGTCATGCAAATTATCGTAATTCACCATGTCAATGCAATATTAACGGTTTTTCTCTACCACAAACAATCGATGTTAGTTTATTTAAGCATGAGCTTATACAGAAATATATTGACACATACCTCAATATTGTCGAAGATGGTAAAAGATCGGTTACTAAAGGTTAGTTACTCGTAGAAGAATCTATGAGCTACTATTCTAAAAATTTTTAGATTTTCACTAGCGTAATCATCATCTCAATGATGATATGATCTAATAGTCAGACGCATTCACTTAATCGTATCTATTGATATAAAAATTTTTTGCTCAAGTAATCGATCATGAGAGCCTTTTAAGAACGAGAATTTATCAAATTTTGATATGCCGTTTAAAATCGTAGACATTCGCTCAGAAAATGGCAATGGTCACTCTTTTTAACATTGAATACGTTTATTGTTCCCAAAATGGTTAACAAGAAGAAAAAATTCTGTATACATACAAATGAATCAATATATAGAGTTCAACATACAGAGTTCAACATACAGACAGTAGAATCACTCCTCCTGGACGCATCAATCAAGACAAAAAGGGAATAAGAAAAAGAAGAGAGTAAAGAAAAAAAGAATACAAAAAGAGCACAAAATTGTTAGAAGTGCACAAAAAATATAAGATCAACTATATAATATATATATTATGGTGGATAGAGATACTTGTGCACAAAATCTTCAATAAAGAGAGAAGAGAAACGAAATATATCTTTTTGAGGTTCATGATCACAAAAGAAAGAAAAAAGATCAAGATTCCTATGGTGAGCTTGCTGTGCCAAGCGATTAGGAAACACACTATTCTTTCTAAATTCCATGGATTTATAATAGAAACGAACTCTATCAGGTGATGTAGCAATAAGATAAGCCTCCCATGTTTCTCTATATACAGATGCTTCAAGAGAGGTATCAAGATGGTCCTTAAATCTCATCCAATAGTCGTACAAATAGTC